TGAGACATTATGTATTTACATAATAACACGGTTACATCTACAACACAAATATTGTGAATAGAAAACAACTCAGATGAGAACAAAAGGTGCCGAGGCTTCGCAATTCGAATTTAACAACATTAGAAAAGCGTCATAAAAGAGGAGACCTGGTTATTTCTAAATGAGGGAAGTGTGTTGACAAAATTGATTACACAATCTTTTTTATGACAGAGCTGGTGTATCCACATACAATCTCTTTGGTGACTCAAAGTGCGTCCACAAACGTCTTGATCTGTCAGAGTCTGTAGTTAAAGACTTAAGTTAAGAATTTCAAGTTAAGACTTGACAAGCAAGTGCGTTTTAAAATGGTATGAATTTGTTTTCTGAACATTTATGAAATATTTATCTCGGAAGATGCTCACGCTTTTATTGGCTAAAGCCATTTGCTGAGGCGCATTGGACATGATGTACCCTAAACACGTGGAGATTGGTCTAGTGTTTTTCAACAAACATTTGAATGATATAGCTATTATATTGATATCAAACAAATTCACGTCTTTATGAAACGCGCTGTAAAAGAGATTCTATTCGTTTTGTGAATTAAAATAATAGTTTACCGTATAAATCTAGGATGTATTTTCACAGATTCATAGAGGAGACGCACACCCCCTCTAACCTCGTTGTTACTTGTACGACAGGGAGTTGGACAAACTTATGTATTTTAATAAACTGTTAAATAATAAATTGTTATATAACTTTTCTTTTACCCCCCCCCCTTTCCTGGTATCGATTTCAAGTAATCACTGATCCTTGTTTATACCACTCTTTCCTTTATCACAACTTTGTCGCAAGGCCAGTAACGAACTCATCAGACTAGGAACTAGGTATAGCTTGAATAGCTTTGCTCTGAATATCTGTGAGTTGTATGATGTCTGGATATCATCGCTGTATTGCCTCGACAGCCAATCCAACACAGCTTCCACTGTTTGCTTGGCCAAGCGCGTAGATGAAATAAGCACTCTGATTGGTTGTTGATAAACACAGCACTGTCACGTACATAGAATCCTAATGAAATAATTCAAGGTGATAGTGGAGTGCTTTGACGGAACATTCAGCAAACATTCAGAATGGGAAATCGAAGTGTACAAAAATATTGGGGCCATATCATATCTGTTCGATATATGCAGAACACATCCCATGAAGTATTGCGATCACCATGAAAAATAATATAATTAGTTGGTATGGTCGTCAAATCAACCAATGACATTTTATACTAGGGCGACCTTATAAAATCCATTTCATGATTTCCCATGAATTGTCACTAAATCCCCATGATGTTTACAGGGTCTGTGAGAGGTTTCCTACAGATCATACAAAGTGGGAATATAACTTTAAAGTCATCTCGCTACCTAAATAGTTGATTATGGGTGCCACATTTCTAATTATGTGAACGGTTGGTTTGACATATTCAGTGGTTGTATTAGTAAAGTGTGTATCATTGTTCAAAAATAACAAATTGAATTGAGTTGTATATGTCCTCTTGGTATCCTTCTCCTTATTTGGCCAGTGATGGCGGATGTCTGTCGCTCGTCGATCAAGATTCAAGAAAGTAATAAATTTAGACAGTATTTTGATTTCTTATGAAGATTATTGTTAAGTAAAACTTGTCTTTGTTTTGCACGATTTCATGAGCGTGGCAATAACAAGCTACAAAGTATGGGATGATATCAGATTAATATTTTGATAAGAGATTGGAAGTTTGGTCTAAATTTTATGCTGAACAGCTAGTAGTTCAATCTATGAATTTTCCACACTTATTAAATTAAACGATTTTTTAAAAATATTGCTTCGTTACTTGCTGACTTTTCTTTTCGTGTTTTCGTATTCAAAACCTTCCTAGAAAATGGCGAGCTGCTTGCATTCGCACCAAATGATGGCGTATTTATGAGTAGAAAATAAAACCCCCAACTAAACCAAACATTGCGCGTTTAGGACGCGACGTAATCGACCAATGAATCGAGGGAGTCTGCAAATGGACGGCAACAAATTGGTTTTATAGCCAATAAAATCGTCTTTAGATTTGAATGAAGGAGTAAATGTTTCATAAATATTTTATAAATATCCATAAAACAAATTCACGTCTTCATGAAATGCACAGTATGGTAATGTAAGAAAACACCGTTACTTTCCATATTATTGATAACAAAGTTGTTTTATTGATGCGTTACCTTATTGCTCTTGGTCGGAATCTGTAACGATGCAATATCACGTATATGTTTACTCATTTAAAATATATTTGTCGAAAAAAATAAATATGTGGCTACGAAGTACTGTTTTTCTATTCCAGAAACCTTGTCAAAATTATAAATTCAGAAATCTGACTTGGTGGTTAAGCGTGTACGACTGTCGAACAAAATGCCAGACTCTAGTCACAATACGTTTCAGGATGCGTGTATTTCAACGGCTGCTGAGTTGTAAAAATAATATCAAGTTCGTTGTCACATCTTTTGTGTTCTGCGTAGATAACATCCTCATACGATAAGCATTCACTTTGAACAGCGCCCTCAAGAGACACAGTCCACTTTGCTTTCTAACTTGTAGTCAACGGGCAATAAATCCGGAGAATCAGTACTTTTATTTTATTTTATTTTATTTTATTTTATTTTATTTTATTTTATTTTATTTTATTTTATTTTATGTATTCACTTGTTTGATCCTGATTGCACATAATTAACCGAAAACAGACTTTTAATACATGTTTAGTATTTATAAGTAATGGAAATTGAAATCGATGTAAATTTTAACAGATAAATTAAAAGTCACAAGCATTTATTTCACGTTCTTGATTGTGAAATAAAAGTTTTGCTTGCGGGATATCAAGTAATAGTATGCCCTCTGGTGTTGACAAACGGCCATGCGCAGGTACCTCGTCAACACACATAGCTGCCGACTCTACGAAGTTCGTTCAATGTGTAAGTTGTCTTCACCGGTCCAATGCCTCTATCCCGCCAGTGTCCGTTCGTCATGAGACGGAAGCGGAAAATTTCTTTGGCATTCCTGGGTATTTGGATCGTCGGTGTAGTCTTCTACTCACAGATTAACGGCAGCAGAGACGGCTCGAACTCGAACGTCGTGTTCTCCGAGGAAGATCAGGTAAAGTCCAATTTGTTATTTTGGGTTTTAGAGTAAATACATTTTACGCATGCGGGTAAGCGCTATCAATGGCTAAAGATAGCGGTGTACGGGTTGAGTTTGCTTCATGTACTAATTTAGACGGAGCGTTACATGCATTGCTAGTTGTTGATGATATAGAACAGTTTGAACCAAGTCCAAGATTCTCGCGTAGCTGTTGGGGTCACGTAGGTCAAGATACACCAAGTTGTGCATCTGAATTACAGCCAGCGCTATATGACTATGGGAGTGGTGGTTGCTAAAACTACATGTATCTGTACCGGTAATACCGGCATTATGTTATTTTACAAATTCACCTAATTATTGCACAATTTAATACTAAAATATTTGTATTTAATGGTGGTGGTGCTCTTTATGAGTATAATTGTTATAGCCAGGTTAGTTCCCTTATACTTCTGGTTAGTATGGTGTCAGTTAAAAACGTGTGCACCACAGCTTTTTTTTCAGAATATTAGAAAAAAGGCATCCATGTGCATCAATTTTAGAAATCAAATTAACCAGAAAGGTTTATTAAATATCACAAAATGTATATGGGGAATGGTGAAGCTCTCAAATTTAGTAACACTCAAAAAAAAAAATCCACAGAGTGCACAATATACTGGTATAAATGGTTATATTGATCTGTTGTATTGATATAAATGTTTTAAATATTTTATGTGTAGAGTGTAGTGTCTACACTAGGAGATACTAGACATTAATTAATGATGCGAGTAACAATTAATTCATTATATGTCCAAATAGTTTGGTGTAATTTGACCAATTACTTTGGTGAATTAATTTGTAATATAAACAAAAAGGCAAAACAGAAGACAGATTGAATTTCCAGTAGAATGACTAGGTATAGGTTTGGTGAAATACTAGTTATTTATTGCTCTTTAGAATATATTTCCATGTGAGTTACTCGAAAACAAACTTATACTGATATTTCTGGTGAAAAATGACGTTATTTTTGCTTGTTGTATGAAAATAGAAACGAATATTCTTGTCTTATCTTACCTTTTGATTCTATTATTTGTTTTCAAACACAGATTTTAAATAAAAAATAAACCTACAATTGTTTTTTTTTTGTATGTTGATTAAAAAATGCCAAGTAAAATCGTTAAGTTGAGAGTATTAAAACATCTTTTTAATGATGAACGTGCATTCTGTGAATTCTTCCTAGACATGTGCTAGAAAAGCATATTTATAAACCTGGAGGCTTATTCATGGGATACACCAACTTAAATATGCCATTGCATTTTGTAACCTAGTTTATTATGACCTAGGGTAACCATAATCAGCTGAGGCTGATATCAAAAATTATATTTGGATTCTTTCGGCAAGTTATTGATATTGGCTGTAGCCAAGGACAACAATGGGAAGGACAATTCCACTGGCCGAGATTGCGACGAATGCGACTTTGGGATAACCTTGGTTAAGTTTTGTGTTATAGTAGTGGGTTATTTTAATGCCTGCATTTTTCTTAATTAATTAATAATATGTTGATGTTGGATGTTATTTTTACACAAAATAAACTGTATTGTTATTCAAAATTTACATCAATTCTGATTATCATACCACAAATTTTTCTGTAAAAATATTGTTTTTACTCAATATTTAAATGGTGGATGTTAAATGTTGAATTTATACTGTAACGAGTCAAAGTGATTGCTTTGTACATAATACAACTCTCTGTCTGATTGCATGCTGTTACCAAACCATATAAAATGATATGTTTTATTTTGCCTGCTACACTGAATTTTAGATAGCCATGCACCAATTTTATAATAAATATTTATAAAGGTTATGTAACCATCAAAACGTTGATGATTTTCTGAAATTCATTGTAGTTTCATTGTATTCACATCTCATTTTGAATATTAAATAATAAATCTCAATATGAATTTTACACAGTGCTGCCAAATTTTGTGCCATTCTTTAAATTCCAATGTTTGCCATACAAATTTGTCTGAAATGAGGGGAATATTGATATTTTGATTGATAGTAACTGAAGTAAGATGTACCGGTATACACGGTTTGTGTTAAATACCGATCATAACAGGTGACATTGACAAATAATGAATAGTGTTAAATTAAGTTCAGGAGAGATTTGTCGTGTTAGCTAAGGGCTCTTTAAGCTTACTATATTTCATCATTAAAGTTGTCTGCTATTTTACGCATCAATAGAAAACTAATTGTTATAACTCGGCTTAAAATCTATTGTGTATTATATTTTTTATTGAGAGCAATGGCAACATCTGTCGCTGTAACTTTGCATATTATTTCTGTTATACAAAAATAGTTTATAGTAAAATTGAATTATTGTTTGTTTATTCAGATACTTAAAGCACCATGTGTTCAATATGAGTCCCATGCCACATATACAACACATGCTAATTTGAACGAGTTCTGCGAGACACAGCAGCATACTAGAAGAATGTGGACTTTAAAAAAAAAAATATTTTTGCTAACGTTTTAAAGCGGCTTATTTTTAACAGCAATCCTGTCTTGTTTATTGTTCTGTCTACAATGCAATTATGTTAATAAATTGAACTGGAATGGCCAAGTGTAACTGGAGAACGTGCAGGTAGACTATCGTGACTTGCATGCCGCTTGGTGGACTTTCACTCTGTATCTTGTGATTGCATGTTCGTATTTCAACAACTTCCTTTCTGAATGAGCGTTGAATGACTTACAGCCAGACATGTATTAGATAAGAACCCAATGAAGATGAAATGGACAAGATAAAACATCAGGCCAATGAAATGTTATCTTGTCTACATCTGTAATAGTGATGTGTTTTGATGCTGTATGCAGTTATGTAGCAGATACTGTAGGCATGTAATTGATCTCGGAGCGTAAAGGAAACGGGACACACAAAAAGATAACGTTGTGTACCTGTATGTCATTTGAAATAGAACTCACTGATGATGCGTTGAATGATTTAATATAATCTTCTTTGTCACCTGTCAATCATTACACGGTATTATTTGATTACACTAAATGATAACAATCTTGAAGACTTGCAACTGAAATTGCATTCACCCCACTGTTGCCATAGTAATGATTGCAATCTCTCAATTTCATTATTTTATAATATTTCTGAAAATAAAGATACTCGTATTTCTTTTTTAGTTGATATACAAATTATTTAATATTATTTAAATAATATACACAAAGAAAAACATTCACTTGAAAATATAAGTGAAATTTTAAGTAGGCATGCTTGACATTAAACCATGCACAGATCTTGACTTCATTCTCTCACTTGTCTATCTTTCACTCTGGTTACATATTATATGCATGACTTACACAAAGAGTTGATTTTATAAAATCCACCCTAAGGCCAATCATTGTCTTCATTTTCTCACAGCATTCTCTGTGTAATTGCAGCACAGCGTCTAGAGTAACATGGTGAAAGAACAGCTATAGTTTGTGCATGTGATGAGATGGAAAGATGATATCTATACATGGCTGCACTATTTATATAAACCAACATACTTAAAGCATATACAGTGTAAATACATGCTTTAGAACATCTGGTCTCAAATTTGAGATGTGTATACAGTATATATGCTATTGAATTTATCACATTGAAAGCAACATGTTAATTTTGAAGGCTGTGATGTATCATACTGAATATCTATATATGTCTTGACAAACTTTATAAATGCTTCGGCCAGACTTGATTAGCTATTTTTTAGCTCCATGATTTGATATGATTTGCTTTTTGAGAGATTATAAACAGCAAGTGAGGGTATTTCATAAAAAGTAGCATATTTGACAGAAGCATAAGTAGTGCCAGATATAAGACCTTGCTTCAGCCAATCAGATTACTAGATTCAGACTAACCATGTTACAACGGGATGTTCCCACCCATCTCAATGTGTATTCCATTTGTTGGGTCAAAGTTTGCTGACTTTATACTCAGTCAGGGTCAGTGGAATAGGTTACTGTCTTTCTTTGTGAAGGAGTGTTCTATACATGCAGGTTTAACACCTTACACTGACTTACAAAGCTTGTACTGTTGCTTTACCAACAATGCATCAGTGAACACTTCCCAACAAACAATCAGCAATGGTTTAAGGTACAAATGTTTTCAGATAATAATTACATGTTTAGTTAATATTCCTAAATATTTTGTTAAATTTGTTTTAGTTTTATTCCACACATCTGATACACTCTCATGTATTGTATTTTTAGACAATTTAAAATATATCTCCAACTTCATTGAATACAAATAAATTTATGATTGAAATGTAATTTAAAAACAATTATTTTCTATTTGAGATCAAATATTTTCTATTTCTGACCTTACTGTGGTGGAGCTAATTATTTTATCTATAATTGCTATTCACTGCTAATGTTCTAGTCGTTAAATTCTTCACCACACCTGATTAATATAATCAAAAATCATGACTCTCTGTAGATTTGATTGTCTTTAGCTGACGCAGCAAGTGCGTTTTGGAAAGAATGAGAAAAGAATGGAATTAGGAATACATTTCACCCTTCATTTGAAATTGCTACGTGTTGAAGCTATATTGTGTGGAAGTGTACGTGACTTTTATAGCAAGGACTGCTTTGCTGAGTTTTTCTTTTGCAGGGATTTCAATTGAAAGGAAAATTGATGTGTTTCATTCATTCCTCTGAATTCAATGAGCACGAAGCATAGTATAAAAATGAATGAGATTTCTTAGTCCCCAGACTATTGGGAAATAGATACAGATCGTAAATGGAATGTTGACTGTGCCTTATAAAAATGATAATAATTGAGTAAAGTGAAAAAGAAATGAAACTGAAAGGAGAAAATGTGTTTCTTAACTCGTATATAGGATTCTAACTACTTATAAATGTCGTAAGATTTCCGTGCATCACACTGGATGTACGTATCACCTGTCACATTTGAGATGAAATCCAACCATGGATTAAAGAAAACTAATAGACTGATTATCCCAAGACTAATCAATGATTTTTCATTGTAC